CGAGGGGGGGGGGCGAGGAGGGGAATGTCGAAAAACTTGCGAGAAAGTCATGCGACATTGCCCCCATGACCTCGCGCCTACTGAAGGGCCTCGGGACGCTCCCGAGAACCTCGTCGAGCCTAGCGGAACGCTCTTCAAGGGGGCTGCGCGGGTTGCGCGCCCGGAGCGCTCGAGGCGCGGGCGCCTCGGAGGCCGCCGGGGGGGCCGGGCCCGCGCCCGCGCGGCCCGCCTGGCCCGCGCATCCAAAATAGCAACAGCGCGGTTCGCCGGGGGGGGGGGGGCGCAGGGCCCGTGCTCACGGCGCCGCTTCCAAAGGACATCCCGTGACCCGCGAACGCCGCCTCAAGGGGCCCCCCGCGATGCGCGCGCGCCGCTTCCGACGGGGGTTCCATGATACGCGAACCCTGCCTCCGCAGGACCATGATCGCCATTCTCAGGGGTCGTAACTTGCGAGTCCGGGGCAAACAACCCTCCGGGGGGCGTCGGCGGATAGGCCAGCGCGTTCGAAACGGATGAATGGTCGGTCGGGCGCTTAGTCTCCGTTCTTGCCCCACTCTAGCAACATTTTGACGCGTTCGTGCACCGCTGGCCCCATTCTCAAAGCGCCGTTGCAATCTCGGCGGGTTACTCTGCCTCGGGCTTCATTCAACTGCACCTTTGTGCCCAGCCCGTTCATAACCTACTGACTTTCAAGCTCAGTCCAGTCTCGTGCCATTCTAGATCCATCCTTGCTCCATTATGGCATCAGTCTTGCTCCAGCTTACTCCATGCCTACTCCATGCTTGCTTCGCTCTTGCTCCAGTCCTGCTCAAATCTAGCTTCTTGCTCCACTCGTGCCTCATAGCTGCTCCATCGTTCCCCATGGTTGCTCCAATATGGCCCCATGATTTCCTAAGCATTGCTAATTGTCTGGCCCATTCCTGCTCCATTCGCATACAAGAACCGCTCCATAGTTGCTCCACATTGGTGCACCCCTGCGCCATGTCCGATCCATGTTGAGGCGCTGTCACAACGTTGGCTCCATTCTAAGAGCGGCGTTGCATCGATTATGCGTTATTCTTACTTGTTGTCCAGTCGCATGCACCCCAGTCCCCTGCCTGTCCCCAACGATCAATTCCATTGATTTTTCTTCCGGAACCATCTCCCTCATAACGTTCGCGCCCCATGCAGAGAGTTGTCCTACTCTGTTCTTGCTCCACTGTTGCTCCATTATTGCGCCGTTCTCGCCGCGCGCGTGCCCCATGCTCTGTCCACGCCCAATCCTTGCGCCATTATTGCTCCAGTATTGCTCCATGGTTGCTAAGTTCTTGCCCCATTAGTGCTCCATTCTTGCTCCATTATCAATCCAGTATTGCTCCACGTTTGCTCAACTACTGATCCACTCTTATTCCAAAATTATTGAATGCCTGCTCCACTTCTGCTCGGCTCCCACCCCATTATCGCCAAATCCTTGCTCCACTTGTGTTCGTCATTGCTGTAGCTTTGCTCCATTCCCAACTAAGACTAAATTCTGAATATGTTTAAAATGTACGTGGAACTCTTTGCCACCCCGCATCATGTTTTAGTGTGTCCAACCTTGCATCGCCCTGGCTCCTCCCAGGATTTCCAAGACTTCCGATGTAACAGCCAACGGCTGGTATTTCATTAGCGGGCCGCGTTTCTACGATCCAAAAACTACTGAATGATCTAGATGGTCTGCTTGATTTGGCGGTATAGCGCAAAACGGTCCAACCCCTATCGTGACATTTACAGCCCCGTACCGGCCGGCTGCAAGCGCGTATTTTTCTGCCCGGAGGGCATAGCGCTGACCTGCCGAATGGGACCTTCGAACCAACGAGCTATACATGCTGGAACCGCGCGCGCTGCAGCCTCGCACGCCAGCTTTCAATCCATACTTCAAGATGCAGACAACACAATCTTCCCAACTGTTACAGTATTGCCTCCCTTCCAGGAGACACCGCAACTCCATCACTGCTTCTCCTTCGTAGTCGTCTTGCCACAGTGTTGCTTCATTGTTTCTCCATTCTGACTAGAATTCCACTCCATTAATGCTCCGTTATCGCTCCATTGATGCTCCGATGATATTTACATTATTGGTCACTTGTTGCTCTGTCTCCGGAATGCGAGATCAAATGCAATGATAGGTGCTTTTTGTTTCCTGTGGAATAGGACTTCAAAGTCCTCGCGAGCACGCCGTTACGTAACGCTGAACATATACAGCGGCGGGGGGAAAAGGCAGAGCCGTCGGGAGGGGATGGGAGGACGAAGAAGTGCAGCAGCAGCAGGAAGGAACACTCTAAACTCACGAGCGTGGTGTGGTGGATGGGGAGGGGCACTAGTCAAGCGAATGGCGATTTCAATCCCGAGTGCACTGTGGATTTCGGCCTCCCCGCCGGGAGAAGTGAGGGACAGGAGCAGACCACCGATTGAGGAACTCAACCTCGAGCAGGGCGTCATCGAGGTCGCCCACGCGCCCCCCGACTCGTGCTTTGAGCTCTCGAAGCGAAGCGCACTGCAACAAGCAGACCACGGCACTGCTCAACGGCACTGCTGAGAAAGTAACGCCTAGAAACTCTCAGCTTCGCCCGTGACTTCTCAGCGATGAAGTCGCGAAGCGCTCGGAGAGAACTGGTGCCCATCTCTACGGGATGGCCCCGACCCCCTCGCGCCTGCAGTGGACCTCCTCGCGCAAGAAGACCACCTCTAATCCTTGATGTCCCTCGTCTCCCCCCGCGGCGCGGAGACTTGCATCTGGAGGGGTGTCGTCGCATTGCAGGCCTTGGCGGTCTGGCATCCTAGAAATGGAGGAACGTACGATTCGATAGGACTCGGATCATATAAACAGCGGGGCGTAGTGTGACATTTAACGCGACGTTTCGCTGCAGGCACCTCACCAAAACTGGGCCGTCAAATTTCTCGCTTGGAATTCCCTGGTTCTGGCAAGCTTACGTTTTCCGGTACAGGGCCGCGGAATGCATCCAATTTCGCTTCAGCGCGCTCAGGCGATCGCACTCGGCACTTCACGCAGGTCTCCAAAGCCGCGAACGCCGTCCGAAACTGCACATCCGTCGGACGGCTCCCACCCTGCGACAAGACGGCGCGCCAGGTCAGCCGTCAGGCGTTGCTCTCGAGCCCCCATGCCGCCGAACCTGCGGCTCAGCCCGAAGAACAACCAACGCCGGCTGCTGCGCCAGTCGGCCCGCAGCGTGGAAAATAGGCCACTGTTCGCGCAGGTCACCGATGGTGGCAGCAACGCACCGATTACCGTCTAAGAGCTCCTCGAACTCTATGACCACGTCCTGCACCTGGGAGTCCAAGCCGTCTAGCGCTGCCCCCGAGAAGCTCCCGGAGCTCCATGACCACGCCCTGCACCTGGGAGTCCAAGCCGTCCTGCGCTGCTGTCGTGGTCTTTCCTTCAGGCTTCGCATGGCGACGTGCTTTGAAGGCCGAAGTGGCGTTCATGGGCTCCTGCACGGCTGGAAATCCGCGTCGCTCCCCTTGCCCTCAGCTCCAAGGTGCCCGAACTGCACCACCTCGAGGTGCTTTTCATCATCCCGTGGGACACGATGCACATCAACTTCAGGCCAAGCACTCACTCCAGCCCTGGCTCGGAGGCCCTCCATGCGGCCCATGCGCCAGGTGAAGCCAAACCAGAGCTCCCGCTTGAGCTGCTTCTTTCCAAGCAGCTTGGGCCAGAGCACAGGTGAGTCACCTTCGATGCCGCGCCCACGCCTGGGCAACGACGCCGCGGGACTCCGCCTGGACGATCCCTTCCCCCCGAGACCGTTCCCGGGCGACTCGAGGGCGGCGCTCTTGCAGCCTGCAGCTCCTGGCGGGTAACGATGGACACACGGGGGCCGTGGGGCGCGCTCGCCCGAGCGTCACGGCGCCTCGGAGGAGCCTCATCGCGGCCGCGCCCGCACGGCCTGCAGACGCGAGCCAATGTGCGTCGAGGCCGGATGGGCCGACGAGCCCACGGCGCGGGGCCAAAGCGCTGCGCTGGCGCTGCCCCCCCTCCCCCCCCCACACTCCCTGTCCTTGTTCTCGCCCGCCGCCGCGGCGTCGCAGGACCAGGCCTGGGGCACTGGCGCACGCCGCGCGCAGCCGAGCTCTCCGTTGTCGCCGCACGGTGCGGACGCCGCCCAGGTTGGGAGGTGGCGAGGCTCGGAGACGCTGCACGGTCCGGAGATGGCATATTGTTTTGATCAGGATTTCCAGGGGAATCCGGCCGTGGCGATGAGGGGCCTCTCCGAGGACCAGGGAGGGCGGAAAACGGAGACTCTGGTGGTCCGCTCGCGAGGGTGGCCGCCCGCAGCGGCCGCGCTGCGTCCGCCGCGTCCGGGCGCGGTTCCGTGCGTGCGCCCCTCCTCCGCATGTGCAGCCCACTATCTCTTGCGCCCCCAGCTGTGGCTCACAGGCCTGGGAGGAGGGGGAGGAGAGGAAGAGGAGAAGGAGGAGGAGGAAGAGGAGGGAGGTCCTGGCATAGCCTTCTTGGTTCTTGATCTCCTCGAAGCGGGGAGAAAAGCGGGCGAATTGCGGGTTAGCGAATCATCCCAAACAGCTGGCCTCTCCGGCGCCTTCCGGCGTTGGATGCGCCAGTGCATCGAGGAACGCACCCAGCGGCATGCAGGGCCGAAACCAGCTTCGTGAAGGAGGCTTCACACCTCCCCCTTTCCCACTCCCCCCCCTCCGTCCAAATAGTCGTTGACACTACCAGGATCATAAAGAGGTGGACCTGGAGCAGGAGAGGTAGGAAGAGACGCACTTGGAGAGCAGATCGAGATCGGAAGGATGGGAGAGGAGGACAGATGGAGGAGGAAGGATGAGGACGAGGATGACGACAACGACGAGGCGGAGCAGGAGGGGGGGATGATCAGCAGGAGGGATGGCAAGAAAAGCGGGAGGGACGAGGATGAATGATGCAGGGAGGAAGACTGACAGAGCAACGAGAAGGACGAGGGGCGAATAACGGCGACGAGGGGGGCACGGGGGAGCGAGAAGTTGGAGCGGTCGGCCTCGATCGCGTCACTAGGCCCTGCTCTCCGACTGGCAAGCCACCTCTTGCGACGCCGAGCGGGTCGGCGGAGAGGGTGCCGCCGCGCTGGTGATACTACAGCCACTTTTGGGGTGCGATGGGGCGGGGAGTGGGGAAGATGTGCACCAACGCCGCGACATGATGCCAACATCGGCACGACGGCTTCTCGCAATGTCCGGCCTCGAAGGGCCGCTCTTGGATGAGAAAACCGGACGAATTCTCCACACGAGCCCACGCATTTCAAAAAGTCAAGCAGTCACGACGCTGGAGGCCTGAGGCACACACCGCCACCAAACATCAGCGGGCCATTTGGTCTAGAGTCTAGGGCCTCTGCAGACCCTGGTAGTACTGGGATGGCATGGGGTAAGGGGCCGTTGGATGTTAGCCAGCCAGCGTGGACCCCAAATAGTTTGTTTGTCGCAAACTATGTTGTGCAAGCTATGTTCCGCAATATCGCAATATATGTGGTGCAACAGATGTTGTGCCACATATTTTGTGATGTGTCGTGGTCGTGCAGTTGTGTTATATATACTATTGATACTGCTGCTGCTGCTTCTAATACTAGTACTAGTAGTAGTCGTAGTACTACTACTACTACTACTACTACTACTACTACTACTACTACTACTACTACACCTACACCTACACCTACTGCTACCGCTACTACTACTACTGCTACTACTACTGCTACTACTACTACTACTACTACTACTACTACTACTACTACTACTACTACTACTAGGTCGACTATACTACTACTACTACTCACTCTACTACTACTTAACTATTACTTACGACTACTTCTCCTCCTACTACTTACTACTACTACCACTACTACTTAATTCTACCTACTACTTACCTACTACTACCTACTACTACTTATCTAACTACTACATCCTATCTATACTACTACTTACTACTACTACTACTACTACTACTACTACTACTACTTTACTTCTTACTACTACTATTCTACTACTACTACTACTTACGACTACGACTACGACTTCGACTACGACTACGACTACGACTACGGACTACGACTACGACTACGACTACGACTACGACTACGACTACTAGACTACTACTACTACTACTGCGGCTGGTCCTGGGACGAGTTAGCGGCGGCCGACGGACGGCGGACGGCGCCACGCCTGCCATAAGATCGCCCCTGCTCCCGAGATGGTTACGCCTGACAAACAAGTAGAAGCCCTAAGTGCAAGCACTGTTTGGGAATAATAAAAGAGTTCCAGGGGATGTGGAAGCCAGATTGAAATCCAATCGTTGGCATTGTCCATGGATGTCACTGCCACCCTATCAGACAAGCCCCCCCCAGGTCTGAAGCCTCCTGGGCACATTCTTCAACCAACGCCCCAACCAATTGTCGGCTCCTGGCCAGACCAGGAGACCATGGACACCAAAATCTGGCTCGGAACGGGCTTGGCCGGGTGCTGCTCGTTGGTTGCGGATGACATATGCCCGGGCATCCGACGAACTGTCTTTGCTCAATCCGCGGGCCTGGCAAAAGTACGTGCTACCATTTCCGACCCGTGCGGGGAGGGGGGGGGGGGGGGGGCAGTTTTCCTTCCAGGACCCGAACACAGCGGCCCAGGGCTGAAAATCACGAACTGTGTTTTGATGCTTTCCAGACCTAGAGGCCTCGTCGGCCCTGGAGCCTTCCTTCCAGGGGCACGATGTGATCAGATTTTCCCAGAAAGCCATGCCGTGGCGAGGAGGAGCCTCCGGCAGGCAGCCCGAACAGTAAGCATCTCAAACGCAATCTCAGATCGCAGATCCTAGATCCTCGGACCTCGACCATCGACGTGGTGCATACTACCCCCCTCCCGATGAATTCGCGAGCCGAGCCGCGGCGGCAGTCGCGCCTCCTGTGGCGAGGATTGCGCTGCTGCGGGCGCCCGCGGGCGTTGCCGAGACGAAGCTGGCGCTGCTGGGGACGCCGGCGGGCGTTGCCGATGGCGTTGCGTAGACGTAAACTGGGGGCGCGACGACGGGAGCGGCCTGTGCCCCCGCCCTTGAAGGAGAAGCGCCTGCCGTGTGCCCGCACCGAGTGGCGTTTCTTGTCTCTTCCGAGGATCCTCAGAATGCGTGCGAGTCCGTCCACCGAAGACCTTGAATACCACGCAGGCGGTCTAATTGGGACCGACACAGGCTGTGCGCTATCGGCGGAGCTGGACGGGGGAAAACATCGCACACCGCACAAACACTGGGCTAACGAACGTCCTGGACATCATCGACCCTTTGCCTAAAGGGAAAACCCTGAGGCCTCCAGGAGGCGCTCTGGAGACCTCCGCGGCGCGACCAGGGGGGCCTCCAGAGGCGCCCCGCATTTCCTGCGCCGGGGCCAATCCACGGGCCTGGGCGTCTTCGTGTAGCGCCAGCCTGGCCGGGGAAGGCGCCCGACGCCGACGCCCGGGCCCAGCCCGAAATCCTGGCGTCGCATTTGTTTCGCACCCAGGAGCGGTCTCGCCCATCCCTGAGCATTAGGGCCTGGGGTGCCACAGAGTCCGATGCTGAAGGTCAGGTCACGTCCTTGCACCGAAAGCAAAGACAATGTAAGATAACGTGGCCACACATCAGATCGCTCTGCAAATTTAACCTGAGTCTACCAGCAATATACCAGCACTCTACCCATATTTGGTACATGATTGGTTTATGGCTGGTAGATGATGAACGAGAGCCACCAGTAACACACCAAGCATTCACCACCACCTCACCTTCAAGGTCGGAATCTGCGGCTGCCAGATGCTCACGGGTACTTAGCGGGGCGGTGCCAGCGGCGCACGGCTGGCGCCCCTCCGGACCTTCTGGCGCCGGCCACCGCGGATGGCCGCGCCGGCGAGGGCGCGGCGGAGCTGCCCGAGGACGACCCGGACGAGAGCGAGGAGGCGCTCGGCGAGCGTGCGGGCGCCGCCGTCCCGTCGGAGCCCAGCGGGTGGGCCGGTGGGCGCGCCTTCTCGCCGAGGGCGGTGGGGCCGCCCGCTGGCGGAGTGGCGCGCCGCTGCGGCGAGCCGTTCTCGATGCGGTGGGGCGGGCGGCTGTGCCCGGCGAGCTCGCACCCCGCATCCGCGAGCGCGGCGGCGTCGATCTGGCGGCACCTCTCCCGCACCACGTCGCAGCCCGCGGCCTCCGCGAGCGCGCCTGCCTGGGCCTGGCGGCACCGGTCCTTCATCGCGTCGCAGCGGGCAGCGTCCGCGAGCGCCTCGGTGCCGACCTGCCGGCACCTCTCCTTGACCGTGTCGCACCCAGAAGCGTCCACGAGGGCCCCGACGTCCATCTGCCGGCACTTCTCCCTGATCATGTCGCAACTTGCGGTCACGCCAGCCTCCTCTGCCCACCTTGCGGGGTCCGCGCTCTCCACCCACTCCTTGATAGGGCCCGCCACCCGATGCAGCAGGGACTTCGTGGAGGCGTCCGCGACGCGCTGGATCTCGGCCGGGTCCGCATCTACGCCGAACGAGAGGTTGATGCTGCCAACCACCTGGAGGCCGCCCCAACTGGGGCCGTGACGGATGCGGTCGGAGAATCGCCCCGCATCGCCGATGCGTCGGCGGCGTCGGGAGAAGGACAATCAGGCTGTGGATCGAGCCACATCGCCGATGCATCGGCGATGCGGCGCGATCCTCCGACCCCATCTGCTCGGACCCCGCTTGGGCGGCCTGGACCACCGCCCCCAGAGAGAGATCAGAGTCCCCCCCGCCGACGTACGTGAGTGGGAAGCTGAGGACGGGCGTCTCCCACTGATGCGAGCTGCTCGGGGTACCAGCGTCCGACCCGGCGGAGCCCTTTGCTGCGAACGCGGGGAGCACGCGCTTCTGGAAGTCCACGCTGCACATCCCGACGCTGCGGGGGCGCGACATGTTCACCTGGAGCGGCCCCAGCCGGACGTCGCTTTGCGCCTGCATCCACACCTGGATCCCAGCCCCGAGCACGTCGGCGACGCTGGAGGTGAACGTCAGCGTCTCGTTGAAACGCCAGGGGGCCTGCTGCGAAGAGCCCCCCGCATGCGGCCGCCCCCCCTGGAAATCGCCGAATTCGGTCTGCTTCTTCGACCTCTGGGGGGAACAGCGAGGAATACCTGCTGTACCGCGACTTTCCCGGACCTCTCCCGGAAAATGCCCTCACAAGGGTCCCGAGGCGAACCCGGCCGTGGCGACGAGGGCGGCCCAAGAAGGCGGAAGGGAGGGAGAAGGACATCGGCACCAGCACGCGTCTGTTCCTCCCTCTGCCGACCTGCCCACGAC